GGCGTCGGTTGTCTCTCTGGCTACTTCCTGCTGACAAGGGTCGACGGGGGTTCTGAAGAGGTCTCTTTTCTTAAGGAGCCTGGATGTTTGGGGAGAGGTCTGTTTCTTGCACTCGTTCAGGGTGGGGTTGGAGCAGCATCTGGTGGATGGTGACTCGAGTCAGTTCCTGAAAGCGCCGCTATAGGAACTGTAGAAAGCAAGGAGCAATAAGTAAGATTAGGCAAACAGCTACTAGGGGCCCAAGCAACGGGGACAAGAGGGTATACATAGAGGAAGACCACCACGCCGTGGCTTCAGCCGAGAACTTCTGACTCTGCAGGTTAGTTTTGAGTTTCTGGAGGCTCTCGATTTGGGTTTCTACTAGGCCGGATTCATTGATGTAGTAACAGCACTCTTCCTGTAGGAAGATACAGGTCCCTCCTCGTTCAGCAGTGAGCAGGTCCAGGGCTCTTCGGTTCTGCAAGGCAACTTGGGCAACTGAGGTGATCTGTCGTTGGAGTGATGCTAAAGACTCAGTAGAGTCATCAATAGCCGCTTGGAGTTGTGAGGTCAGTCGGGCTATGGCCAGGTGAGAGTGGACTAGTGCCCCTCCTCCTAATCCTGAGTAAAGTAGGGGAGGTAGCTGTCTAGAGGAGTAGTCTCTGGCGGTGGGGGAGTTGAAAGCAGGAAGGGGCAACCATACAGCAGCTCAAATGGGCTAAGCTGTGACGGGCCCCGGGGGCTTGCTCTTAACCTGGTGAGGGCAATAGGAAGCAAGGTTACCCAGGATTGGCGGAGCTCAAGCATGAGCTTGGTCAGATGCTCCTTTATTAGGCCATTGGCCCGTTCCACCTTACCAGAGGACTGAGGATGGTAGGCGGCGTGTAGCTTCCACTGGATTCCTAGAGAGGTAGAGACAGCATTAGTAACCTTGGAGACAAAGGCTGGGCCGTTGTCTGACTGGTGGCCGGGAGTCCAAAGCATGGGATGACGTCTTGAATGAGATGAGTGGCTACCATCCCTGCAGACTCAGAGGCTGTGGGGTCAGACGGGTTGTTAGTGTCCCAGACCTGAGGGTGGACTCCGGGGAGTAGTTCGGCTAGGGCTTTTTGGGGTTTGGTATCTGAGGTGAGGGCTAGGAGAAAGAGGCTGTGTGGGTTGGCGGTGGGGAAGGTTATGACGGCCTTCAGCTTTGAAAGGATGTCTCACCCCAGAAGGGGAACTGGGCAGGTGGGGATTACTAAAAAGGAGTGGGTGAAGGGAGTGGAGTTATATGAGCACATGAGTGGTGGGGTTTGATAGGGGATACTCAGGGTCCCATTGATTCCCATGACTAAGACCTGGGAAGGGGTGAGATGGCCAGAATAAGAAGGAAGTGCGGAGTAGGTAGCCCCCATGTCTTGTGACCCTAGGCTCGGCGAGGGTAACCGGAGTCGGAAAGCCAGGGCCCCGCTAGTCATCTAGCAGCCCTAGTAGACTGGGGAATGGAGCTCCCTCGGAGGTCGGCTCCTGGCAAGCAGGCTCCTCCCTACTGAGGGTGACCGCCGGCTGCGTAACGCCAGTGTGTCTGTTTTGAGGAACCGGCACCCTGGGGAAGCTGGGGCAGTCTGACTTCCAGTGTCCCGGGAGCCGACAGATAGGGCAAGGCTTAGTTGGTGGCCATGGTTGTGGACAGGCTCGGGACCAGTGTCCTTCCTTTCCACATTTGAAACATGCCCCTGGAGGGGCATGGGTTTCGGCCTTGGGCTTCTGGTTCCCTGCCGGCCTTAGAGCCACCACTAGGGCTTGGGTCTGGAGGGCAGCCTTCTGCTTCATGCGAGTTTGGCGGGCAGCCTCAGCCGCATCTTCCCTGGCATTGAATACTTTAAAGGCCATTTTTACCAGGTCTTGGATGGGAGTCTCTGGCCCCTCTTCTGCTTTCTTTAGTTTCTTTCTTATGTCGGGTGCTGATTGGGAGATAAAATGGGAGGCTAATACAGTGGCCCCATTTTGGGAGGCTGGATCTAGTTGAGTGTACCGGACTAGGGCTTCTTATACTTGAGTGAGGTATTGGAATTCTTTAATATAGGTGGATGGGTTGGCTGAGAAGGATCCTAAACGTTTCTCAATTTGGGACAGGTCTTGGAGTGAGAAAGGAACATGGACCCTGATTAAACCTTCTGCGCCTGCTACTTCTCGGAGTGGGGCCAGGATAGCTGGCTGGTGAGAGCGGGTGTGGGCCGCCACCAGAGAGGCAAGAGGAAGTGAGGCCTCTGAGGGAGGGGGCTCGGAGGGAGTAGAGGAAGAGCGAGGCATGGCCTCTGAGGTAGGAGGTGCAGAGGGAGTGGGGGAAGGGCGTGCCGTTGATGGCGAGTGGTTGCTGAGATTGGCAGGAGAGGACAGATGTTCAGGCAGATCCTCCGGTGAGGAGTAGGGAGGGGGAGAGGTAGTGGAGGAAGATTTATGGGGGGTTCGAGATAAGAGGATTTGGTAGGTGGAGCAGGAAGAACATAGGTTGGGGTGGGTACGGAGGTCCCAAAAAGCCTGGACGTAAGGAATTTCATTGTCCTTGCCCATGCGGCGACAAAAATCGTCGAGATCTCGGAGGGTGTTGAAATCAAAAGTGCCAGTCGGGGGCCAATGTGACTGGTTACCGAGTTTGTATTGGGGCCAAGCCACCTGAGACAGGAAGATAAGCTTTTTCTTTCTGAGGGTTTGGGAATATCCCAATTTGGTAAAATTCGCAGCAAGCACCCAAGGGGGGTGCTCAGAGGTATTTTGGACTCCGAATTTCCCATGGCAGGCGCAGCTACAGACTCTCCGGCGCGGATGGGCAGATGCAACGAAAAGGCGTCCCCGTTCGTTGCAAATTCCCCGGAGTACAATTAAGTACGGAAAGGGAAGCGGTCAGAGGGGCGTCCCCCGTCTGGCGGCTGTCCCTCGGAAGGCTCCTGGAGCCGGAATGGAAGACTACCTTGGCTCGGCCGAGACTAGGCAAGGAGTCCGTGCGGAACGCCGGAGGGGAGCAACTGCACCATGCCGTAGGAAGAGGAGACGGGAAGCGGGGGAAGGCAAAGCAAGAAAAAACTTGGCTTACCTTAATCGGAATGTGGAGGTGGCAGGGCCAGTGTTGGGTAGGTCGGGGAGGGGGGCCGTGGCCGGGCCAACAGCCTCAGCTCCCGTCCCGGGTTTCCGGCACCATTTGTCCGACCTACCCTCTGCGGGAAGACTGAGCTCGTTCGGAAAAAACCGGACCGCAGGCTAGAGGAAATTCCTTAAGTTCAGGCTTTATTGAGAGGAAAGAGCCTCCGGGCAGGCCAGCCGGGACGAAAAGGAAAAATGGCCGCGCCGCTCAGAGGGGCAGGGTTGTTTTATAGGGGGCTGAAGGGCTGGGGGGTGGGGAAGCCAAAAGCTGAGGTGGTGGGCAACTGTTGGTCAGTTTGAACTGCTGGGCGGGAAGCTGGGCGGCGGGAAGCTGGGCGGTGGGAGGGCTAGGGCCGGTATGTAAAGTGAGAGATAAGGGAGCCTCTTCGTGGGGGAGGGAAAGAGAGAGAGAGAGCTTTCACGGTAGGGGCAGAGTTTTCCAAACAATTTCCATTTTGACTTGTGGTCTCAATATGTGTGGTAAAAGAATTAGCCACAAACCAATGAAGAACATATAATGTGGTTTTCTCTAACTGGAAAATATTCAAAGATGTCCTACTTACTACTTGCACAAAGTTGCCATTTTCTTATTTTCATATTTGAATTCTTACTTAGCATAAGGTTAACATAACTTATAACAAGTTCTCTGTTAGGTATTTATGTTTCATCTTATTTCAGAAAGAACGTAAGGTAATTATGTAAACATCTCAATTTAATGGCATAGTTCACTTAAGATATAAGCAATATAAGAGAAATTTCACTGGTAAGAAATACGGCAATTTAAAAAGTTTCATTTGTATTCTTTAAAATGTGTCAAAGTCACATATCATAAATTTCTTTTTTTTTTAAATGGAGACGTAGTCTCACTGTCATCCAGGCTGGGGTGCAGTGGTGCAGTGTCAGCTAACTGCAGCCTCCATCTCCTGGGCTCAGACAATCCTCAGCCTCCTCAGTTGCGGGGATGACAAGTGCCTGCCACCATGCCCAGCTAATTTTTGTATTTTTAGTAGAGACAGGGTTTCACCACTTTGGCCAGGCTGGTCTCAAACTCTTGACCTCAAGTGATCTGCCTGCCTCCACCTCCCAAGGTGCTGGGATGACAGGCATGAGCCACTGTGCCTGGCCTCAGTCAGTATCTTTTAATTCAAAGTAATTGTTGAGTCCTTCATTATGTGGGAAGCTATCTACTCTGTGTCTTATCTCATTTACTCATGATAACAACAACCTTATCACTCCTATGGTAAGGATGAGTAAACCGAACTGTATAGAGCTTAAGTAACTTGCTCCAAGTCTTACAACTTATAAAGGGGCAGAGTTGGGATTTGAAGATAGGTCTGTCTCTAAAATCCAAGCCCTCTGCTTTTAGTCATCATGACATACCCTTCTGGTCCTCTCATGGTGTTCATAGTGATCTCACTGCTGGTTTGAGAAAAAAGGCAACACAGGAAAATGCACTGGAACTGAAAAACCTGAGCTGAACAAGAGGAACTGCTCGCATTTCCCCAGTGACTGTCAGCCTTAGATAGATTCCTTGACTGCTTGCTAACGTTTTCTTGCTCTGGTAGTAGCAATAATTTATATAGTACTTTGATGCACACATGTGCTCATTGCTTGGTATTAATAGCATAAGGCTGGTTCCTTTTTTCTATCTCAGCAAGCATGTTTCTTGGAGTCCAAAAGATGTAAGTGGTTGGCAGGTTTAATCCTGGTGGGATATTTTGAGGCTGGAAAAATTTAGGAGTTGCTGAAAAGATACACAATAGTAACAGGACTTGGTGGAGCCCTAGGGAGGAAGTTACAGTGATTTTTAAGCTCTATCTCCTCCACAAATCCAATCAAAGGCAGTCCCCTGAGACAGAGAGCAGTTGATGGTATTAGATTTAAAAAATCAGGTTAGAGTCTGCCTCAACAACACAAATACTATAATTGGAACAGGACAAAAAGGATGGCAGGACCCCTGATCAAGGATGACATACAAATTTGTGAAGTACGTCTATTTGATAAAAATAAGAATGTATATGGCTGAGCACAGTGGCTCATGCTTGTAATCCTTGCATAGGAGGATCCCTTGAGGCCAAGAGTTCCAGACCAGCCTGGGCAACATGGCGAGGCTGCATTTATTAAAAAAAAAATTAGCTGGGCCTGATGGCACATGCCTGCAATCCCAGCTACTCAGGAGGCTGAGGTGGGAGGATCACTTGAGCCCAGAAGGTCAAGGCTGCAGTGAGCTATGATTGTGCCACTGCATTCAAACCTGGGTGATGGAGTGAGACCTGGTTCTAAAAAATATGACAAAACAAGAATGTAAGCTGCTACCTGGCTTTCCAGCATTGTTCAACTTTCAATGTTATTTTCCTTCTACAGTGGTATAGCTATATCAAGTTAAGTTTCACAATGTAATACAATTAACTTAGGAGTCTGAAAGTAATACACCAAACAGGTAATAAAGATCTGGACCATTGCCATAGCTATCAAAACAGGGAAAAAAGATGAAATGCGAAAATAACATTTTAATGCTTAAAAAATGCTTAACCTTTTTTATTAATTGGTTGGCTCTTAAAGGTGATGAAGAGAAAGTTGTTAAAAATGGCACACTCGGCTGGGCGCGGTGGCTCACGCCTGTAATCCAAGCACTTTGGAGGCCAAGGTGGGTGGATCACCTGAGGTCGGGAGTTCAAGATCAGCCTGACCAACATGGTGAAACCCCATCTTTATGAAAAAATAAATGGCAAACTCAGAAAGGTGGTCAGCATGCCTTTGACAACAACGGAAAGTCTGGCAGGAAGTGCCAATTTGCATGGAAAATTTGTCAATTTTCTATAGTTCTGCTTCTAGTCAGACATCCAAATGAAGCTACAATGAGGGCACAGATGTGAGGGCACAGATGCTGTTTCACACATGTGAAACAGTGGTTGAAGCTGGAAAGGGAGGGAGCCCCGGAAAAGGGGTCAGGGAAAAGGCAAGTGCCAGGGCTGACCTTCAATGTGAGTGGACTCAACAAGTAGGGAGAGAAACGCAGGTGGAAGGCTGGAGGGGGACAGATATCACTAAGCAGGTGTGAGAGAGGCAGGCCCTGTAACCCAGAAGCCAGGCTTTGGGTAGCAAGGGAAGTGAGAATTATAAGCAATCAAGAGGGATAAATGCTTACATGGGGATTCAGAGGACTTGACCTTGCAATGGACACCATTTTCGAAGAGCAGTTTCAAAGAAAAGTAAAGGTAAAGATCACAATAAAAGGACTAAAGACAAATGGAAATAAGTTGGATGTCATTACCAAGGAGGAAGAAAATCTGAGAAGCTTAAGAACATGAAATAATGAAGTAGGTAGCTCAAAGGCTCACAGAATGGGAACTGAGGAAAGCCCAGTGAAAATACTTCCATGTTACAAATAAATCTGATTATAGATTATGCTGTGTTTTGGAGTCTAAGGGGAGCCCTATTCATCTTTGCAGAAGAATGAGTGAATGAGGGGTGGGACAAGAGGCTAGGAGATTTGAGGACACTCTTGTTTTAATCCATTCTTGCCTTGCTATAAAGAAATATCTAGACCAGGTGTGGTGGCTCATACCTGCAATCTCAGAACTTTGGGAAGCCAAGGCAAGAGGATCACTTGAGCTCAGAGCTTGGGACCAGCCTCGGCAATGTGGCGAAACCGTGGCCCGGCAAAAAATTAGCTGGGAGTGGTGTTGCATGCCTGTAGTCCCAGCTACTCAAGAGGCTGAGGTGGGAGGATCTCCTGAGCCCGGGAGGTCAATGCTGCAGTGAACTGTGGTCATATCACCCCACTCCAGCCTGGGTGACACAGTAAGACCCTGTCGCTATAAGAAAAATAAAAGAGAGAAAGAAAAGAAAAAAAGAAAGATCTGAGGCTGGGTAATTTATAAAGAAAAAGAGTTTTATTTCAGCTCATGGTTATGCAGGCTATACAGGAAGATAGTTAACAAGACCTAGGAAGTGGGGAGGTGCTACACTCTTTAAAATAACCTGATCTGCGTGAACTCAGAGCAAGAATTCACTCACTACTGCTAGAAGGGCAGCAAGCCATTCATGAAGGGTCTGCTGCCCTCATGACCCAATCACCTCCCCAAGGCCTCACCTCCAACACTGGCGATTACATTTCAACATGAGATTTGGAGAGGACGAGTATGGAAACCATATCAAATCTCTTCTCAGAAATCAGAGGAGCAAAGAAGCACTCTCCAGCACTCCCTTCACCACTGCCTCCAACCCTCGTCTACTAAAAACACTGCGTGATTATTTGGGAGCAGAGATTTTAAAACAGAGGCTCAAACTTTCTGTCCAAAGCCAATATCAATTAATACAATTTGAATTTTTGGCATTAACAGATATCATTTGGAATTCTACCAAGTTTATTGGGCTTGTTGAAAATTCTCATTCAATTATAAAAACTTAGATAAATATACTTTGAAATGATACTGAATAGCCCTCTCTATTCCCCTGTTCTAAACTAGATCTTTCTTTTTTATCTTTTCCATCCTCTTCCACAAATGACTCCCTTTCCCCTCATCAAATCTGTCCTTAGGTCCAGTCAGTTCTATGCTCAAAATCCTTCACGGACTGGGCAAGGTGGTGCATGCCTTTAATCCCAACACTTTGGGAGGCCAAAGTGGGCAGATTGCTTGAGACTAACCTGGGCCTCATGGCAAAACCCCATCTCTACATAAAATACAAAAATTAGTTGGATGTGGTAGTACATGCCTGTGGTACTGGCTACTCAGGAGGCTGAGGTGGGAGAATTGCTTGAGCCCAGGAAGTCAATGTTTCAGTGAGCTGAGATGGCACCATTGCATCTCGGCCTGGGTGACAGAGCCTGACCCTGTCTCAAAATCCTTCATATCCACCCCCATTGGCTTCCACTTATTTCAGACTAATAATCCAATTCTGGATTACTGTATAGCCTTTTGCTTTTTCTACTACCACCACTTTCATTTCCGATCAATCCTCCATAAAGGTGCCAGAGAGCCCCAGAGACCCTCAAAATAGTGTGAATCTCACTATCTGCACTCTTTCTAGCACTTACATGATACAGTCCTGATCCATCAGTAGCTCATGGAAGGTCTTCTGACATAGCCTGCTCCACTACAAGTTTCTTCTTGTATTTTCAGGATCCAGGCTATTGCCCTTGTTGAACCTTCTCAGAAATGTCATGTCATTTCATGTATTTGTTTCAGGACATGCTGGTTGTCTCTGTCCAGGAGGTTGGCCTTCCTCTACCCCATCGAGATCTCTCACCCCATCCTGACTTCTCCCCACCACTCCATCCTCACCCCTTTCACCTTATATCCTGATACAAATCTCTGACTTCACAGTCCTTGCACTGAACCAAAATGCAGTGCTCCTTTCCAAAGGCAGCTATTCTGGCTATTACAAGCTATGTCCAGTGCCAGCTTCACTAATAGGCAGAGTAGACATGGTGGCTAGGGCACACAATACTTTTTTTTTTCTTTAAGACAGAGTCTTACTCTGTCACCAGGCACTAGGCTGGAGTGCAGCAGCACGATCTCGGCTCACTGCAACCTCCGCCTCCCAGGTTCAAGCAATTCTCCTGCCTCAGCTTCCTGAGTAGCTGGGACTACAGGCACGCGCCACCACACCCAGCTAATTTTTGTATTTTTTAATAGAGATGGGATTTCACCATCTTGGTCAGGGTGGTCTCAATCTCTTGACCTCATGATTCACCCACCTCGGCCTCCCAAAGCACTGGGATTACAGGCATGAGCCACTGTGCCCAGCCCACAGTACTTTTAGGAGTCCATGAAAATGTTTAATTTTACTTAAAATCAGAAGAGAAAATAACTGTTACATTCATGTGTATGCATGTATATGGCATGCATATGTACAGATATATGTATATGTGTGCACATTTATATATGTATTTTATATATTTATATAATATATAGACACTCTTTTTTTATTTTAATGGAGGAAAGGGTCCATGAAGGCAGAAGTGTTCAGGGCCCACTGAAGTCATACTGTGGCCCTTGTCAGATTTGAATTTACTTTTCAAATCCTGAAAATAAAATCAATTTTGATATATATTTCAGTAAAACGGTGCATATTTGAAAGCAGGCTTAAAAAGATAGCATTTTGTCCTGGAGCAGTGGCTCATGCCTGTAATCCTAGCACTTTGGAAGGCCGAGATGCATGGATGGCTTGAGCCCAGGAGTTCAAGACCAGCCTTAGCAACATGGCAAGACCCTGTCTCTATTGTTTGGAAAATTAAATTTTAATTTTTTAACAAAGGTTAGCATTTTAAAATTCTGGAATAATTAATTCAAACTTTTTTTTTTTGAGACTGAGTCTTGCTCTGTCATCCACACTGGAGTGCAATGGCGTGATCTTGGCTCACTGCAGCCTCCACTTACCAGGTTCCAGTGATTCTCCTGCCTCAGCCTCCTAAGTAACTGAGATTACAGGCACATGCCACCAACTTTATATTTTTTTATTAGAGATAGGGTTTCACCATGTTAGCCAGGCTGGTCTCAAACTTCTGACATTAGGTGATCCACCCACCTTGGCCTCCCAAACTGCTAGGATTACAAGTGTGAGCCACCATGCCTGGCCAATTAATTCAACTTAAATACAATACATGATTATCTTTTTTTTTTTTTTCAGTTTAGAGACAGAAGAAGAGCAACAATATCTCACCTCAAGCTATGTTAACATCTCCACTGATTCATTACAAGGTGGTAAGAAGTATTTGGTTTGGGTCCAAGCAGCAAACGCACTAGGCATGGAGGAGTCAAAACAACTGCAGATTCACCTGGATGATATAGGTAAAGAAGAAGGACTTCTGTAATGTCTTTAATAATAACCAATTTGTGCTGTCCTAATCAAATGAGTTCTAGATGTGAAAGAAGTTTCCATAAAATTCCTGCCGAGCATGATAAAGGAAACAGAAATTACCCATAATTCTACCTGCCCAAGACAGCTTAGAGATGAGTAGTGCTGCTGCCATTTTGTTGTATATCCTTCCAGTCT